CTTTATTAACTGGAACATGAAGGGACATCACAGAAACAGGGATAGCTTGCATGGCCATATGAACCAAAGAGACTTAGGCCCCCAGAGAGAGTTTTTACCTGATTTTTATTTTGGTGGCAGGAAGGAGAGCTGGGAATTTAGATTGGTAGTGAAATCCTTTGAATGGAACCGTGAATAGGAGCAAGTCAGTGGGTGGGAGCACCCAGCTGGGTTCCTTCTGCAACCAGGAAGTTAGTTTGTCCCTTTTGGGACAAGTGGCAGCTGGTTTGCACAATGCCACCACTTTCCCGCAGATTTCTCATGTGCTTCTTTTTTTAATCTCTAGCCATGTAAAGGCTTGTTTCTCAGAATTATCCAGTGCACTCTTCAGCAAGAAAGCAGTTAACAGCTGACAGCTTTAAACAAATAGTTCCCCAGATCAGATATATATATACACTTGTCATGCAGATGTCCCTATGCTGGAGGATCCACAAGACTGGTGATGATCATGCAGAGTAGTTTGCTAATCTAGAGAAGATTTCAGCTTTCACACAGATTGTCAGGTTTCTTCAAGGGGCCCCTTTGCATCACCTCAAAAACAAGTCCACTAAAGGAATTGCCCCAGGCTTGTACCATCAAGCATTACCCTGTTAACAAAGATGAGGCCTGTGTTTGAAGTTCTGAAAAGCTGGAGCTTCTTAGATGGGCACAGGCATACAATGTGGTTCAGGATCATCTTTTTGCTGTGGTGTACCATGATATACTATCAAGGTCTTTTCATTTCATTCTATTTACATTTTTTGAGATTTTTTTTTTCTGAGATTAATCAAGTCCTTAGGCAGCAGTTGCTGCCAAAAGATTTGATCTTGTCGTGTCTTTGGAGTGTTGAAGAGATGTTTTGCTCATCCCATGTTATGATGAACACTGGCCTGTGATGGCTGCCTAGATACACTACATCGGTGATCTAGTTGGGAATCATCTCAGGGTGCTTATCTAACAGAGCTGAGATTAGACCATACCTGGCACAGTAGCTGGATTTCTAATGGACTGGAGCCAGCCCACCCACCATGACAGCCAATGAGTCACAGTAGTGGCAGTCATCACAACAAGTAGCTTTCCGGAGTAAACTTTTCCAGACTTGTCTGCCTGGAAATCTACCCAGGAGCATATTCTATTATTTATATGACTTTTTAGATTTGTTTTGTTTTTAATGTCTGCTGGTAAGCTATGCGATTCTGGCATGGCAGTCAGTTGGGTATGACATCAGACACTATGGGCATCATGCTGCTGATTTTGGAGTCATTTCAAAAACACTATTTGTGTTCTGTATTTTGGTGGTGATTTCTCTAAGTTATGTGTTATGATCTTAGTGGAACTCCATTCCCCTCTGATCATCTTCACCCTTGCCTATAGATGGGACCTGAGAGTATCAGGGAATTGAGACTCCTAGGAATTTTTCCTCTTGTGACCTACTTCTCTGTGCTAGGTGGCAGGGAGGCTAGGTTCTAGGAGACAGGGAAGACTGGGCCTAGGTAGAAGATGGAGACTCCCAGGCATTCCTCTGGACTAGAGGACACTAGGAAAACTGCTGAGAGAAATCTCTCTGCAACAAAATGTAACATACACTATTAAACAGATGTCTCCCACTCTTCTTTCCCACCTGCCTCAGAATATGAAAGGTATAAGGGATGGCTAAGTTCCAAACTGCATTTCTTGCTGCAGTTTAAAGAACTTTCTAAACTGTACAGAGTATCACATGGGCCCCTTCTCCCCTCCAGTGAGTGAGATGTATTTGCCTCTACAGGTCATGGACTCATCACCTGGAAAGGGTTCTTTTCAGGGCTTTGGAGCGGAGCCCAGAGCTGGAGTACGGAGCAGTGGAGCTGCAGGTTTTTGCCTGGAGCTGACAGAAAATCTTGACTGCTCCACTGCTCCAGTTTTTTTTTTTCATTTTCAATCCAAAATGAATGATATTTTAGCAAGAAAGTCCTAAAGGTGCCAAAAAGTTTCAGATTGTATAACAATTGATATTAACATCTACTTTACCACTTTACGTAATATGTCACAGTTACTCTCACTTCAGATGAAATCAAGATCTAATGTACAGATACAAAATTACAAAATTTTTTGGAGATATGTTTTATTAAAGAATCAGATAATTATCAGACATCCAGCAACACTGCAGACTGCTCCCACCCTTCTGCCAAGGATAGGCGAGTACGTACTCACGTAGATTAGTTAGATAGTTAGATTATTATGTGTTTATTTTCAACCTTGTAACGTGTAGCCTCGGTACTTCTCAACAATTAATGTTGTAGAACAGCGATAGCACGTACTAACGTTATGGCACATACCAAATTTCATTGATATATCTATATTAAAGCATTTTTGAGATATTAAAAACTTGGAAAATATTTTGAATATTTTCCTGCAAAATTTCATAAGAAAAACTAACTTGCAATTTATAAATAAAAATGTGTATTAATCATGTATATTAAAAATTAAAAAATTATAGTTAAAAATTAATTTGAGTCAGAGCATGGAGCGGAGCTAGAGCAGTCAGTATTGGTGCTGGAGCGGAGCAGAGCAAAAAATTGATTGCTCCAAATCCCTGGTTCTTTAAAAAAAAAAAAATTGTTTACAGCTGTGGGAGGGTGGTTTTTTTAAGCATCAACATCTTGATTATTTTTATCAATGCCCATGATTGTTTTAAAAAGTAAAGAACATGAAATAGTCTGTTCCCCGACTGAAACTCAGACTGCCAGCTTGAGTGACTCTCAGGTAGAGATGGATGTGTTTTGAACCAGTTGAAAAACTGGCCTCAGAATGAGAGCATCAGACTTTCTCTTTAGCTATATTAAAACTGTTGTTGGTGTGATCCTATAGGATGAGATCTTTTTCTGTTTCCCTCTGCATGCTCACATGCACACACACCAACACACACACACAAGCACAGATTTGTTCATGCTGAGAGGCTGCCTTGATCATCTCCTGATGCCTCTTTAGTTGCGTAGTTCCAAATTGGCATAATTAAAGTGTTATAGAATAAGTGACACGCCATCCTTTCTAAGGGAATATGAGAGGATGGTGGGAGAGGAAAACTTTAGGATAGGTGCTAGGTTTTACTGCACCTGGCCTCAATATCCAGGCCATTTTCACCATCTTTTCCCCCATTTTATCAGGAAAGTTCTGATCTGTCAGGACACAAAGGCTGTTCAAACATTGTGTGTCATCTTCCTTCCCCATCCTGATGGGATTCTGGGTGGAGCTGACTGTTGCTTATCTATGCAGTCATCATGGCCTACCACTCAAAATCAGGTCTTCATTCATGCTTAGCAACGCATATTTTTTCTGTGACAATCTATACCTCGCATGAAAATCTCACATGTGGTAGGTCATTTCTAGAAAGATTATATGTTATGGTTTCCTCATCTATCCCAAACAGAGCAAGTGACTCTTGAACTAAAACTTTTTTCCAGAGTGTTCTCATTGTTTTTCAAAATCTCCTTGGCCCTATCTGCATTGCACCTTTCAACCATGTTAAGGAACTTAGGGTACATCTATACTGCGTGGCTATTTCGGGATAATGGAGGTATCTCAAAATAGCTACCCTGCATCTACAAAAGCCACCTGTTATTTTGAAATATTTTTTGAAATAACAGGGGTGCTATTTCACAATCCCGGTAAATCTCGTTGGATTAAGGGATGGCTCGAAATAGCATGTATTTCAAAATTTAGCACTGAGTAGACATGCCAAATTTCAAAATAAGTTATTTTGAAATAGATTTGCAATAATATACGCCATTTGTGTATCTTATTTCGAGTTTAGGGTGCTCTGTAGATGCACCCTCAGAGTCACATATCTGAAAATGGTTACTGTGGTCAGTATCATGACTACAGCTTTTAAAATCATTTTATGACTTGCCAGTTATCATCCGACCCTTCCATGAGAGCTCTGATGAACACATGCTACTTTAATTCAAGTTGTTTCTCATGGGTGTGCCTCTAATTGGAATGCAGTGAACAGTGTATGTTAGTTTTCCTGGAAATCTGAAACACTAACTGCTTGCAGCCTTTCTAAGGTACTCTGCCTATGGATATTTAATGTGGCAAAATATACTGTTTCCTCTTAATATTAGATGTGCATAAAGCATTTTAAAAGTTGTTCCGAGACAGGGGGATAATCTCTAATATGGCTATGAAAACAGATGACCATAAAACAGATTATAAACCATGGTAATAGGTGGAACCATTTGACATGATTTCTGATATGGTTGGTTGGTTGCTCGCTCAGGCTCTCCATTTGATATTTACCATATTTCTAAGAGAGATGGGGTTAGGTTAGAAAACTAGATCCCTACCCGCTTGGACTTTAGGCAAGGTAGAATCTGATTCTAGGGCCAAAGTCCACAGGTCAGGTTCATCTCTACAAAAGACCTGAGTCGGAGCAGTAGCTGCACAAACATTCCTGAACTTTTCAAAACTTTTTGGCTCTTGATTTGAATCTAGATCCAAACAACATGACTTAAGTCAGTCTTTTATTTCTGACAGATTTCTTATTTTTAGCTATTGTAGCCAGCAGCCAATATTATTTTTCTTCCCATCATATGTCTTTTCAAACTGGGACACAAGTTCTAAACATATCATACAGTTTCTATGCAATAGCATCAAACAGTGCAGGCAACATATACACACGTACTTCTCTAAGAAAATAGATAGCAAAAATCTAAACCCATTGAAAGGAGACTCGTTTTCCCCTTTACAAATTTCCATTGGGGTGAGAGACATGGAACGTGGGGGGACAAGGGATGATTCTCACACTCTGGTTCAGTTTATAAGACTTCTTTTTTTTGTTCAGCATCTCTCTCCAGTTTAATAAGTCATCTTCTTATATCTGCTCTAGATGCCAGCATTGTAAATAAGCAAGGTGTTGGAGAAGTTTGGCAACATATTGGTCATTAAATTGTAAATTCCTTTGTGCAGTGCAGTAAAATCAGCAAGAGCGTCAATATCTGTGGAGATCTTTTTTTCTTTTTCTTCTTTTGAGAAATGTTCAAAGGAAAATATGTGCAGCGATGAGGTGCCAGAGAAAGTGTCTGTGATTTTTTTTCCCCTTCAGAAGTGGCCTTGTCTACAAAGCCTTTGCTCCAGCAATAGCCAAATACTTTCCCTTATTGCTGACAACTAATTCAGCGGAAGTTGTGCTCCTTCAGCAATTTTATGCATTCATGAAATTTGGAGAATCAGGAACAGGCTCTAAAAAGGAGAGACAATTCTGTTAATAGTTTTTTGGTTATTTATGAGTGTGGAGCTCACTGGGCACTTGTGAGGCTGTGGTCTGAGGTGATTAACAGAAGATACTTCCCTCCACTATAGACAAGATCCTATTGGCTGGGAGTGCACATTGCCATTTGTAGGCACCTTTAGCAATGTGATTCAGCCAAATGTCACCAGCTGCAAAGATGCTAGGGAATGAGAACTAAGGGCCTGACCCAGAGCATGTGGTGGGAGTTAATAGAAAGACTTTTGTTGACTTCACTGGGCTTTGGGTCAGCTCCTAATATTCCATGGCTCATCATTTTAATCCCCCCAGAGGCAACATTTTTAAGGCAACTGGCATGATTTTTTCCCTCTAGCAAGTAATCTTGTAACAGCATCTGCTGTGTTGCTAATAACAGGCTGTGAAATGGCAGCCTGGCTCTGGGAAATTAATATGGTGATACTCTGGGGGAGGGGGCAAGGGACTGACAAGAGGGCCCCCAATTTAACATTGCTATCCCACATCTGGAACTCAAGAGTACTGCAGAAACTGGCCCGCTGGGAAGAACCCCTTGTATGAAAGAATAGCAAACCCCATGCTGCGGGACAAACATAAAGAGCCAGTCACACCACAGCTGTGTTTCTTTCCCTCCAAGACTGAGATCTTGTCGCGTTCCCCTGTTCACCTCCAGACCAAAGATTTATTATTTTGGTTTGTATCAGCAATTTCTCTCGACACCAAATAATTATGAGTGGACAGCTGGCCAAATTCTGTTTCCATTGATACCAGTGTAAATCTGGGATAACTTCATTGGCTTAAGTCGAATCACTCCATGTCTATGCTTGTATAATTGAGATAAAAATTAGGACCATTAAGTATAAAATGAGGCCCTACAGCAGAGATGCAGGGTTTTCCCCCTCCCCAGAGTCACAAGACTATAAATTTCATGTTGAACAAGGTTAGATTTAAACTGAATATTTAACAAGGGATCAGTCCCCTCCCTTTCTGACTCTTTCTTTCCCATGTCCCTCTTCAATGGCTAAAGTTCCCTACCGTCTGTCATGGCAGCTTTAGCTTGGGTCAATCAAGGAGCTAGTTTTATAAAATGGACACTTACCCAGTGTTGGGAAGAAGCAATCTCCTGTGCCAGGAGGAGACAGTGGAGTGTTTGGTTCTGAGAGAAGGTGTCTGCCTGATTCTGACGGCTGGCGGCTGGCAATATATGTCATCTGCAGCTTGGGCCTGGACTCTGTATTTGTGGATGGAACTGCTTCAAAGACAGGGTTTTCAATGCCTTGAGCATTACTACAGGAGAAAATACAGCATCAGTCCTCACACTCACACCCCCACCTTCTCTCTCACCCACTAAGAGCTCCAGAATTCTAGACTTTCTTCCATTCTAACAGTAGTACCATGGGTGGCAGGTAATGTAGGCAAGGGAAGGCATTGCCTTCCCAAAACTGCCTATACTCTCTAGCCACCAGGGAGGGCTGTGGCTGTGGTATGCTAACCCTGCCCTCCAGGTGGCCAGGAAGGTTTGGGCTGTTGTAGTGGGGGGCTTGGCTCCACAGGGGGCGAGGGTGGGGAGAGGTTGCTGAAGGGGCAGGGCCTGTGTCAGAAGGGGCAGGGGCTGGAGCATGCCTTCCCCAGCTGGGTCTTCACCTGCAGCCCTGAGTAGCACTTACTATTTTTAGTTCCTATTTATCTGTCTTACACATAAGTTAGTGGGTCTCTCCTGTGTTTGTCCTTGTGACGTCTCAATGACCAAGCTCTCTATTGTTTTCCTAGGGCTTACTTCCTAACATCTTGTCTTTCCCCTGTCATGCTGCCATGGTTTTGTACTACAAACAGCTGTGATGTGACACAAGAACAGGATTAGAATCTTTAGGGAGGAAAGCCAGGTTTTTGAAGAAGGCAGGAGCTCATTAAAATATTATAGTAAGAAGAGGTGTAACCCTTGTCAGGGGACGCTTTAAGGGAGTCCAGGCCCAGATTACCATGATAATCTAATTTAAGGGGAATTAATCCACCTAGGTATTTGATGAATAACAAACACTGGGCCTAATAAAAGGCTATTGGGGCTCATTTGCAGCGACATGCTTATAGAGAAATTATCCCAATAGACAGGCACTTCCAGAGCCCACAGGTGCACAAGGAGGAAGGCCATGCACATCTCTGAGCCAAAAGAGGGACCAGGACTGAAGCAGCAAGTAGTTGCAGCATTGGGTCAGCAAGGGGTGCAAAAGGGCGGACATGCCCTACAACCACAGGTACTTGAGTGGGATATCAAGACACCCTCCACCATCAAGGAGGAATGACTTTGTAGGACGGTATAAACACCTGCCCTGGCTGTGGGATTTTGACTGTTCCATGACAGCATATGGAGGGGCAGACACAACTGTAGAGGTTCCTGCTTCAGATTGGGGGCATACTCAAGAAGCAGCAGAGGTGTCCATGATGGAAAAGGGTCAATTGCAAATTGCCATCAACCCCAAAAGGGAAGAAGGCATAGGCTCAACCAGCTTATATATATTTACTATGAAGAAGTGAGGCATGCAGGATGGGTTGGCCACTATATGAACAATCATTATAAGGCTGGTCTGGTTGCTCTGAGTACCAGAGGGGAACCAGGGAGAGTCAGGCTATCAAAGATACTCTTCCCAGAAACTGCTGGGGCCAGGACTATTGTGAAGTTTGAATAATACTGTGGGGACTCCGTTGAGACAAGAAAGAATAATGCCCGAGGACCAATCTTTTTTGGCAGTGGGGAGAAGAGGCAAATATAATGGTGTTGCCTCTCTAAAATATGTCTCTTTTATGGTGGACACTAATTTTGAGGAAGCAAGACCCTATAAGAATAGGCAAATGTGGCTTAGACAGGGAAATAGGCCCTGGGTGAAAAATTAAAGGTGGGAGGCGGTGAGGTTCACTATTCCCATTAGTTAAGGGAGATGCTCTACATGACTTTTAGCCCCAGAGTGTGAGAGCTTGAGGAACTTGAATAAAAGAACCAGAGAAGACCCAGGAACAGAAGGAGTTCCAATCAAGGGGATCCAACCAGAAGCCCTAAAGGATGACAGGATTCTGGGGTAGAGCAGGCCATATAAAATATGGAACTTGACTCAAATGATCTGGAGAGCCAGGGAAATGGAGGCTACAAAAGCCATGATGTGATTGCTAAACAATTCAATGAACTACAGATCCAAGTAGTAGATTTCTACCAGGAATTGGATAGCTGTACAAAGCATTAGAAGGCCTAAATTCAAGAAATGAGGTAGAAATGCTCTCAGGCTATACGGGAGCTGATCATACGGTAGGAACATACCAGGCCAATAGAAGCAGAGCTTGAGAGGCCAGAACAACCAAGGCAGAGCAAATGTGTAAGGCTGACCAGAACGTAAAGATTCCTCAACCTGGCAACAAAAATACTTGAAACTCATAGAAGGAAGTGACAGAGCTGTAAATGATCTTGAAAAGTGACCTCAGGACAGTCAAGCCAATTGGAGAGCAAGTATTTTAAGCCAGTGGATAAACTGGCAGAGCTGGTAGTGAGCTAATGCAGGAGTTACTGCAGAAAGCAAAACACAATAAACTGAGTCTCCATACTCTGGTGGACCTGATAGAGGAGAAGGTGCCATTCTAAATTGGAACCTTTGAGAAAGAGAGATTTCCAGCCTAGAAGGCAGAGAGACAGGAGTTGGAATAGCTGCTTGTTTTGGAGAGGGAATATTCTACATACTACTGAGACAAGTAGAAACATATTAAAAGAGAATTGCAGGAACAGGTGAGACCAACCTTCTTCTGGAGCAGAGCAATGGAGGAACACTTGAAAGAGAAGCTGGAGCCAGAGCATGGCATGAATATCTTGGAGCAGAAGGTTATTAAAATGAAAAAGGAGCTAGAGACTGACTAGTGAGCTCTGGGACCTGGCCATTGAGGCAGGAGCCTTATGCACGCTGGAAGAAGAAGGTGATTTGCAGGGGAAACTGGCTGGGGATTGTCCAGGAAGCAGGACCCAGGTGCTGGCACCCATGGAGAGACATGCAATAAGATGGAGAGCACATAAATCAATTACAGGGAGCTTGTGTTGATACAAAGGGTCTGACTGACAAGTAGGGCCTCCAGAAAGACCTTCCAGGAGGAAAAGTCAACTGATTGACAACAGATTGTGTGCCCTGAGAGACAAACCCTGAGAGGCAAAACACGGCAGAAGTTTCAATGGTGCCAGCGGCTCTCTCGGCTACACAGCAGACCTCTCTAGTAAAGGATGGAGTGAGCGGGGAGCGAAGGCTGCAACTGTGGATAGGAATCACATTGAAATCCTGGAACTGCAGATGCAGATGGCTGAAGAACAGGAACAGATGTGTTTCTCCAGGGGAAGGATCTTAGAGCAGTCTGCAAACCAGAAGCAGCAGCAGCTGCTCTGCCTCCAAAAGGACACTGCAGAACAACAGTGTTTGCTGCTTCAGAGGGAGATGACTAAGCTCCAGAACCTGCCTGAAGATGCAGCCGCGGCTGAGATCCAGCTTGGCTAAGGATAAAGAGCTGGAATACTGTGGGGTGAGGCCACTACTACAAGAAGATGGATTTAGCAAGAAGGTACAGCAGCCCTCTGAAGCTAAGAACTGCTCTGTTGTGGCATGACAAAGCTGCAAGGCCAAGCCCCAGCCAGACCCCTGCTAAAAAGAAGGGTTCACCCCAAGAAAAAAGGGGGACCCAGACAGTGCGGTGATTCCAAAAGTACTGTAGGTCTGGCAGTTGCAGAAATCTGTGCTGACTGGGTTATTAACAATGATAGGGTCCAATCTTTAGAGTCTGGAAGCCCTAAGGAAGTAGGATTTAGATGCAGCTATTTTTAATCTCAATGATGATGCTTGTGTTTGTATCCAGGGGGCGCCTCCCTAAGGGTGTGTCTACACAGCGGCATTATTTCAGAATACCGGCCATTATTCCGAAATAACAATGTGAGTATCTACACAGCAATTCCATTTTTGAAATAATTTTGAAATAACGCGTGGCTTATTCCAACTTCTGTAAACCCCATTCCACAAGGAATAATGCCCATTCCAAAATAGCTATAGTGCGGATGCTCCACTGCTTCTATTTCAAAATAGCTCCTCCCCAGGGCCATTCAAACTAATTACTCCCCAGTGCCTCCTGGGGCTCTAAATCTAGGTAGTGTGTCCACATTAGGGAAGCCTGCCTCAGACTAATTTTGAGGCATCCCTGTAGTGTAGATGTGCTATTTTGAAATACCGGTAAGCTATTTCAGACTATTTCTTCCAGCATAGTTTGTTTTGAAATAAGCATGCAGTGTAGACATACCCTAAGAGATCAAGTAGTAGCCTTAAGCCAGATCAGCTGTGGTGAAAGCTTTGTATTGTTGACCATACCAGAAGTAGCTGGGGAACTAGGCTTTCAGGGGGTACAGTATATGGTGAACTATGACATGCTGAGATCTATGGAAGAATACATTCACAACATGAGGCACTTATAACATAGTGGAATTCAAGTCCTGATCATGTCATGTTTTATGGAGGGAGGCAAGAACATTGCCAAGGATTTAACAGATTTCCTAGTTGCTGCTAAAGAGGAAGTTCCTCCTGGTTGGAGATGACCAAGCATTAGCTATTGTTGATACTACATTTCAGTATAAGTTGGTTTTGCTGGGAGAAGGTATGTCACAGGATTGTTTGCCCCTTGTTTGCTGGTGCTTAAAGAGAAAGAAACTATCCTATGGAAGAGGGTCTTCCAGAGACTACAGGTCCTCAAGGCTGAAGACCAATGGGAAAGACTTTATTTCGAGTTTGTATTGTATTTAATAATATAGTAGAACCCCAGTGAGAGAATTATGTCTTGTATCTTTTTGGACTGTGGAGTTGTGTCCCTGAGAAAAGGAAACTGAGGAAGGGAGTGTCTGCAGCATCGTGCTAATTAGCAAGTAGCACTAAAGTGTAGATAAATCCCTGGCTGGTGGGATTTTAAACTCTGATTAACATTGTCCTAGACCCAACACTGCTAACTGGTAAAGGACATTTTCTTTAGTTCAAGCGGTGGGAGCCTGAGTCTTCAGAGCACCAGGATATGAGTTCTAATTCTACTGACAATGGAAAGTTCCAGATGACCACAGAATGCAACATAATCACAATCATGAAGCTCTCATTGGCCTTGGATTAGAAATAATATAAGGACACTGATGCCTCTTTCTAGTGATACAAAGTGATTAACACATGCTACCTGAATACAACCAGCAACCAGGAAATGCAGCTGAGCAGTTATTGCAATTACTGATATTGTACATGAGAGCCATTTATAATACCTGAGGCTGTGTCTAGACAGCTTTCCTCTTCCAAAAGAGGAAATGCAAATGAGGGAAATGGAAATGAAGCACTGATTAGCATGTTTGCGTGCTTCATTTGCATATCTTCTTCCAATCCTTTTTTCTGAAGAGGTTCCCCCCCCCCAAAAAAAGCAGTCTAGAGGCGTTCTTTTGGGGGGGGAACCCCTTTTTCGAAAAAACCCTCCTTCCTCAAAAAATGAAGTTTACAGGGTTTTTTCGCAAAAGGGTTTTGTCCAAAAGAACCACATCTAGACTGCTTTTTTTGGGGGGGGGGAACCTCTTCAGAAAAAAGGATTGGAAGAAGATATGCAAATGAAGCACGCAAACATGCTAATCAGCGCTTCATTTGCATTTATGTTTTCCTCATTTGCATTTCCTCTTTTGGAATAGGAAAGCCGTCTAGACGCAGCCTGAAAGAGGCAATGATACCCTTAAAAATACAATGTAATAAAGCACTGAAACACAGGGAGAAATGTCAGTAAATTAATGTTTCTTTTGCAGACCAGGAGAGATGGAAAATAGTAATTTTAACCCACTTGCAGTTACTGAGCAAATGGAATGTCACATTTGATCCGTTTCAATATGCATCTCTTTTCATCAATTGTTAAAAATGCCCCCAATAACAGCTTCAACCAAGTTGCTTTTCTGTTCCTTCCACATAAGGTACTATCCCTTTGGAAGAAAGAATGTAGCTCCCTATAGTGTTTTGTGCTGCAATCAGCTGACTAGATTTCAGCACTTATTAACAATCAATCAAGACAGCTACAGAGGATTGCAGGCCAATTAAATGTGTAATTTTTGTTTAAATGTTTCTTCTTGATGTTTCCTCCACAATGAAGGGTGTTTTTTTAAGGCCAAGTGGCCAGATGGCCTTTGAGATTTCATCAATGTCAATAAACAAAACCAAGGTTAATTTGCATTCTTATTTCAGTTTCTGATGTATGCTGCCAGTTTCAGTTACCGCTTGAAACAGCCTAACAGGGCAGGCAGTGGGGTTAGCTTTTTGTCAAGGCCTGTCTGGCCTAAGTTGTTGAGACTTTTCAAATGAAAAAGTAGGAAATCTGTCACAGGAAGAATTGAGGGGTAGTTGCATGCCTGAGAATGGGGATGGAGAATGCCCTCCCCCAGCCACCCAAGTTTAAAATGAAGAGCCATAATGAAGCATTATGAAAGCAATAGTCAGAGTGGATGGATACTATAATTACTTCTCTTGTAAGAGGTCAACCACACGTTCTGTAACAAGTAGCGAATATAGTTTGGCTTAGTCTGTAATAACAGATCAGGAGGAAGACACAATTGATACCCATTGCCAACCATGCCTCTGAATGATCACTGCGACTGCAGTTCTTTATTCTTCTCTTTCTTCTCACAGTCTCATTCAATATTGCCAAACACAAGAGATCAAACCAGACTGCCCCAAAACATGATGTTTTTAGCTCAAATAATATTTTATAGTCTGACTGTTTAAACTCCTCTCTATTCCTCTCCCAGTGCATGGGTTCTAATTTCAGGTTGAAAAGTCAACCTTTGATGAATACACAAATACACAGCTATGCCCACTGCCTGGATGTATACTCTACTCACCCTCTCCTCATCCCCAAGACAGGGGAACTGCTAGCCCTTCCCATTGCTGTCCTAGCCCAGCAGCAATGCTTACCTGTCTCCTGCTGCTCCAGGGCTTCTCCAGCCAGGACTCAGCAGCACCTGACTGCTCTCCTCCCCTGCCTCTGAGTCCCAGCAGCACCACTTTCCTGCCTCCCCCTGCTTCAGGTCTCTCTGCCATAAAACCATACCTATAAAGGCAGGGCCCAGTGGTTGGGCAGGTCTGAGTCTCCAGTCCCAAGGCTCTTGCATGAGCTCTTCCCTCATGCCCAGCCTTAAAAATTGCAGGATTGGGGTTGCTCCTCAGCACTGCAAGAGATCCTCCTGCTGGTGCCAAAATCCCATCATTTCCAATCAGTACATGAGACTAGGCAACACTACCTTCCCCTGGCTCTACAGTGCAAATTCCCCTTACCCAACACTGCCCCCAAACTGGAGGAGCTGTGAATCTGTCCTTTCAATTCCCACCCCCACTGTCCTATGAACTTCCAAGGCCTCTGTCCTGTCCTTCCAATCCTCCAGCACCCCTGAAATCTGCCCCCACTCTCCATCACTTTACCCATTCACTTTTCAGAGAGTCTCTTCTGCTCCTTGCATTCCTGTGTTCTGGTAATTCCCCTGCACACAAAACAGCAGCCATTGCCTGTGGGCATAGCTCCAATTGCACTGGAAGAAACAATGGGAGGTGGCAAGCAATGTTGTGCAGGGCAGCTCAGCTGCCACTTGCAGATAGGCTTGTAGGGGAATGGTAGCCATCTTGCTGGCTTGGAAAACATGTCAGTTGGCAGCCTTGGTTAAAAATGAAAAACACCCAAAACAGCCAGAGATGTGATGAAATTGTGAGAGTCAGCACTACTGCTAAGGCTGTTCACTTTCTGTGGCTACCTCTCTCTCCTCTCTCTCCCCCTCCCTCCCTGCTTGGTTCAGAAGCCAAAACACCATACCATGCTGGAGCCTGGATAAGCTCCCTTATCTTTGATATCTCATTCTCTGTATACTGTATCTGATGCCAGTAGGAACAACTGGCATAGAGCAGATAACTTGAAGCTTTAGGAGTGGAGATTTGGGAGTCTCCACGGTGCAGGAAGACTCTGATTCTCACTTGACAGGGTTAAAACAAAGTGGGTGGGTGGGAACAGGGAGCAGAAGTTTGTGAAAGTGAGGTGGGTATCTAAATGTGGATCCCTACCACTGTGTAGGGCGTCAATACACCCCAGAGTTCCAGGCAATCTGCCAAACTAAAGTTTAAGTCATTATCAGAGGAAAAGCAGGCCACTTTCAGGGTCATAAGGAGGGAAGGGAGCATGAACAGGCCAGTGGAAAATGGAAAGACTTAAGATTTCCTCACCTCTCCATTCTTACAAGTTCATGGGCACCTGCAAAAAGACAAACAAAAAGTGTTTATTATACTAGTAAAAAACAATGGTTGCTATTTACAGTCAGCTTTAATGGAAAAAATATTAACGCAGAAAATTCAGAAATCCCTGTGCATAGTTTCCTGCTACAGGGTGAGCACTTTCACTGCTTTGAAATTGAGTGAGTAGCCCAGAGCTCTCATTTAAGGTGTTAGATACACGAGTTTTGTGTTCAACTAAAAAGGCTGAGACATGGGCATATTACATCAGCAGTGAAAGGATTAAGTGTGGTGATGTATTCCAGCCCTAGTGACAGGGACCAGAATACCGGTATGTTGCTGGAACTGAAGCAAGACAATGCAAAGGAAATGAGGTACTCCAAAATGCAGCACATGAGGGGTTAAAGCCTCAGATTCCTTTCCTTTTCACTGTACTTGTGTTTTGTTTTTCTGAGCAACATTTTCTGTTCCCATAAATCTGAGATTTGGTGGTTTGGACTAGAGGAACGGAAACTGACAATTCATCTGGAAAATGGATACTGAATCACGTGCTCTGGGGTTTGCAAGGATCTGTCTCTTCCCTCTTTGATTAATTTCTTCATTCAAACATTTCAAAGATGAATAAAAGTGGAAGCAGGCATAGCACAGGCCTTTTTACCTCACATGATTCAACACTGGCATCTTGACCTGCAGCTCCTCCTGCACCCTTCTACAATTTATGACCTTCAAGTCTGACTTGCAGAGCTCTCAGGGTTTTCTACTCCTCGTCACAAGGAGGAGGAACCCTGTCAACTTGCAAAATCAACAGATCAGGTTTTGAACATAAGATTCCAGACAGGAAGAGAAGCTTATAATGGATGAACCCTTTCTCCAAGGCTTGCTGTGGGCAGTCCAACAAGGTTATCCCAATGAAAAGCATCCAGATAAGGAGAGTGATCCATTATGACTTTTTTGTGTGAACTTTTTAAGTAGCAGGCGTCTTTCTGGCCCTTTGTTTTGGATTTCATATCTGTGCTGTGCTGTGCAGTGCAGCAGAGCATCTGGTTTCCTTAGGGAAACTAAAGCAAAGTATAAACAATGAGGAGTCCTGTGCCACTTGAAGACTAACAAATGTATTTAGGCATAAGCTTTCATGGACTGCAACCCACTTCATCAGGTGCAACAATGTTAATTGTGATTCAGTGGCATTGGTGTCAATTGTAGTAATCAGAACTATATTTGCAAGACAATTGCACTTTACTGTATTTGTTCTTTCATTCAGGTTTATTGATGGAAGCGTCTCACAATGTGGCCACTCTCTCAACAGGCTCATGGCTAGAGCCCTGCACGGATATAAAATCTGTATGCACATCTGCATCTGCAAAAATGATCTGTGGATATCTGAATCCACATCTGTGGATGCAGCTACCCACAGTGATCCACAAATTTGCAAGGTTTTAGATACAAAATTTGTATCCGCATCTATAGCCGCAAAAATGTGCAGTAGAGCATCTGGTTTCCTTAGGGAAACTAAAGCAAAGTATAAACAATGAGGAGTCCTGTGCCACTTGAAGACTAACAAATGTATTTAGGCATAAGCTTTCATGGACTGCAACCTACTTCATCAGGTGCAACAATGTTAATTGTGATTCAGTGGCATTGGTGTCAATTGTAGTAATCAGAACTATATTTGCAAGACAATTGCACTTTACTGTATTTGTTCTTTCATTCAGGCTTATTGATGGAAGCGTCTCACAATGTGGCCACTCTCTCAACAGGCTCATGGCTAGAGCCCTGCACGGATATAAAATCTGTATGCACATCTGCATCTGCAAAAATGATCTGTGGATATCTGAATCCACATCTGTGGATGCAGCTACCCACAGTGATCCACAAATTTGCAAGGTTTTAGATACAAAATTTGTATCCGCATCACATACATATCCACAAAAATGAACCGGAGGTATCCACATCCACAGATGCAGATACCCACTGGAGGTATCCACCTCCACAGATGCAGATACCCACAGATGTAAAGCCGATAGCCATGGATTTGCAGGGCTCTACTTATGGCATGATTAGGAGTTTTGTCTGAGCTTGGACCTTAGGATTGGCCCTGATGTCACTAATATCAGTATTAGTGTTAACTGATGTTGAGGTTAACTATTATCTCACCACTGTTAATAGGGGCAGTGCTAATATTAGGACCAATACCACCACTATTACTACATCATAACTATTACTCCACATCATAACAACATCAACAGAGCAGATGCTTGGCCTGCTCTGCCAGTTTTCAGGGAGAGGATTCACACTCGGTGCTGTGACATGTCCCATCCATGTAGGGTCTGTGCTTTTGTGGTCATGTAAGTGTGCAAGGCAAGTAGTAAAAACTCTGCAGAGAGCTCCCTTGGCACAAGGGGAATGTTCACTTCACTGACACACAGCTGTCTTCTGACACAACATTCACCCCCTCAGAAGGCTTTTACCACATAGGTACTGCTGCTTTTGGAGGCTGCTTTCAGTCCCTGCAACAGAGCGCCAACAAAAAGTCTCTTTTCCATAAAGATGTGAGTAGATGTGATAAACTGGCATGACCTTTATACATGGTTAATTGTCTGCAATAAATATAGAGCAGGAGTGGTGTTTGGCTGCTCTGTGGATTATTTCATGACTAGAATTGCTTAGTGTAATGAAAATGGAGTGGATTTCATTATACGTCAAGTGTAACAAATATGCTACTTTGTCATAGGAACAACCAGTATTTTTCTGCTCCTTATTCTCCCTTGCTTTTCTCCTTTTGTCTGATTCCTGTGCCTCTTCCTTATTCATTTCTCCTTTCCCTTATCCTTTCCTTTCTTCCATCCATCGATCTATTCTTCCTTCTCTCAGTTAAAGGGGGCTGACGCTTGGTCCCCCATACGCCTTATTTTCCCAGCCCTGATCTTCTATTCAATTGGCATTCCATGGGTTTGAACAATTGGACTCTGTCAGGCAGATTTTCTAGTATTAATCCTGAAAATGTTGTGCTCTGATTCCATGATGCACAATTCATCAGCATTAACTACTATGTTTTCACTGGCTATAACAGTAGCATGATCTTGCAGCAGCACTGCCATCAATGGGAAACTCTGTGTTCAGGAGTGATCTCAGTCTTCTGTCACTCCCACCACCACCACCGCCTTGCCTAGCATAGAGGAGTGTACAGTACTCGCTGCTGCTATGGGGACCCCTTCTAACTTTGGGATTACTGACAGCTTTGAAAGAGAATTTAAGACACACACGTGTCTTGAACCTTAAACCCTGCTCAAGGAAAGCCTGGGATAAGGGGAGTGATAGGAAAGGACAAGTTGAAAGGCAGGTCCAAGAATGAAAGAGTAGATTGCATTTGCCAGGCTCCAGTTTAATATCCTGACCTTCCCGGGATGTAGGGGGAATCTTTGCATACAGGGTGGGTTGGGTGTGTGGAGCGGAGCTTGCACACACTTTAGCACAAATCAGCAAACTGCTTGGAGCACTGCCCAGGCTTGCAGATTGTTCGTGTTCTGATGTTCCTCCCCCCTCACTCAGCAACTTGGAGTCTCAAATTGCTTGAGCTTCTGCAGTACACAAAAGAAGCTTGGAGGGAGGAGAAGAGGAGGAATATTCTGCAATACCGGAGTCAAGGGGAGGAGGAGGTAGTTCATCAGTATCTTCAGATCTTAAAGTCTCCAGTGTTCAGCTGCAACACCCTCTTGAACTCTCAGAGGAAGTAAGGAGCCTGAAGTTTGTGGTTAACTGTGTTGTTTGTTCTAGAAAGTGGATAGAAACTTAATAGATGGCAGAGGAGCTTCCATTTCTGAGTTTAGCACAGTGTGAAACAAGGTACAACTAGGCTACTGCAAGCTTGTTTGTATCGGAATGATTCTCTATACAATGCATTTCTCATGGGCTAACCTTACAGATAGGCGACAGGGTCAGGGGGTGCCTTCTGAGTGCCACAAGCTGGCAGGCCTGGAGCGGGAATGAATGCGGATGGAGTCCATGACCAGCTGGGCAGGCAGAGGGCAGTGATACCCCAGAGAGCTTAGCAGGGAGGGTCAGGCCAGGCTTTCCCCTGGGTCTTAGTACTCAACTGCTCCTATTCCTGCACTCACTTTTAAAGGGGATTCTTTAATGTTTTTTTATTGTAATTTTTTTTGTTTTAATGTTTTTTTATTGTAATTTTTTTTTTTTTGGCTTAAGTCCTTGGAGTCCTTTTTTTTTATGTTCAACAACTTTGATCTCCCTCCCTTTTTTCCCCCTTCAACGGAGGGTTTTTTTTGGGGGGGGAGGTGTTCGGTACCCCTGACTCCTACTGCCCATGCTTGTGTACCCACTTTCCTGTTAGGTGGTCAGGGATGTATACGTAGGGGAGCCCCCAGACTCAGAAACACCTCAGCCCGGCCCGTCTCTGGGACCAGGACCTGATCCTCACTCTGTGTTTCACACTGCTGTTCTAAAATTCAAAGCAGGGCACCAAAATACAAGTTCTCCTAGAGTGCCATTTTTCTTAAGGCCAACCTACATTTATTTCTGCATGTGCAGGCAATGTTTTTATAAGGGGTCCCTAAAATATTTATGGTTCTAGCCTGTGATAAACATTATGTCCCATAGTTGGATGGCCATGCAAAAAACAGTGGGGTAGGACAGGGAAATGTATTTATTTGTTTCTTAATTTAAGAAAGAAACGCTTTCTCATAAGCACACTGAAAATGCAGCGCATCTTGATAAGCACTCTTTTATATTAAATGCATGTATTACAAATATTGTAGTATTTTGTTCCTGAGTAATATATTGATAGGTAAGGCAGGACAAAAGGCCTAATGAGATACTGGAGGGGGCATAGGTAACCTCTTTGAGATTTCTTTTTAAATAAATGACACCGGAACCGTCTGATGCAGTCCAGTTTCAAAATACCTGATTTTCAGAGGTACTTTTATAAGCTCTGGGACTTAGTGACCTCTGCCAGGGACTTAGGGTTGCCAGGTATCCCCCTGGTTCCCAGCCCCCCCGCTTACCTGG